AGTTTTCCTTAGAAAAAAATTGACGTTGCTTATGTCAACCTAACTAGGCACACGGGGGCATTCTGAACCACCGCTTCCTTCAAACGCGCTGTCAAGTCTGTCAAGGCGCTGTCGCTGTTGACGGGTCTTCATCCTTTCATTTCCCATTGCAACGACGTCATTGTTTGTGACGGCTGTATGCTCCAAATTCTGTCAGCTTCCGGTCCGAGCATTTGCCGATTCCGAGGATCAATAGTACAGTTTATTTGCTGGCTTTACAACGATGTACAACGATGGAAAAACGGATGGGAACTCAAAGCGAAAAGAATGGGGGAAAAATGAAAGTAAAAGAAAACTTGGGAATACGAGACAAATAAGTTAAGTACAAATACAGCGCTCAAAGCGGGGGAGTTCAAGGGAACTCAACTCACTGTAGAGCAGGGACGATGGGGGAGCAGATCATCGCTCTGGATCCATTTCATCCAGTAGCGTGAGCATCTCACGCATGCTAGGGCGGAGGTAATCAATGGAGTCCCAACAGCGATCCAGAGTATAGTATCCCAAAAGACATCCACGTTCTTGACTTGGACCAGGCAACATGCTCCCCTGGTAGGTTTGACTCCTCGAATGATATCCACGGTTACAGCATGGTCGTTTGTTCTGTGAGGATAGGGAAGCTGTCCAGTTGCTACCTGCATGCACACATGAGTCACATATGCAATCGGTTAAGGTAGAAGGCCAGATATACCTTAAGGCACACCGAAGCAAATGCGTACACATCACTAAACGTTGTAATGGGAGGAATTTGCCCATCGTCTTCCACCAGTGCCATAATAAGCTCTGGCGCCATCCACCTGGTTGACCCGGCAAAGAAAGATGTTCCCTTGCTGATGGTCTCGGACATTTCCTCGATTTCCTTGGAGAGCCCAAAGTCGGTGATGATCGCATATCCACGCTCATCGACCAGAATGTTTCCCTGAGTTGGGGGTCAGCGGGGAGCGGGAAAGGACGAACAAAGGGGCCTGACTCCTTTCAAGTCCCCATGGACAATGGTAGGCCTGAATGTATGGAGATAGGCAATGGCAGAAGCCACCTGGGCGAGCTACAACAATAGTTAGGTGACGAAATTCGGTGGATAACATGGAATGCGTACAAGTCTTAATCGATTCACGCTCGGGAAATGCTCCAGATAGTTGCAAAGCGTCCCATGTTCGCACCAAGGCGAGACCATGCCAATGCTCTGTGAGAGATGTACTATCCCAAAAAGCTGGGACACGTTGCGATGACATAGACGGTGCCAAGCAATAACCTCCGATTGAAGTCGCTAACGAACCATCATGTCAGCTCCAAACATTCCAGCAAGAGAAGTATTACATACCTTGATGAGCTTCTCTCGAACATTTTGTACCATGACTTGACGCAGGACCTTGATGGCAACCTGAACGATGTCGTGAGCTGATCTTGCACCATAACACCACAAAGATACTTACCGGCCGTGGGCGTCTCTCAATCGGATCGTTCCAAGTACCTTTCCATACGTCAGAGAACGTTCCATGAGCGACAGCCGCATCTCCCTTCACAACTTCATCGGTAAGATCAGTCAAGATCACAGACCCTTTCACGACCAAAGTCTTGGTGACCGTCTCCTGCAAAAACTTTTGTCGACATCGTTACTTCAATCGGCTATAGTCCTGATGCTCTTGGATCCACCTGAACTCGTCGTACGATGATATGGAAAGTGCAACGGTAGAAGTAGAGGAAGTGTGGGTAAGTTTGGAGGATCATGGCATTTCGGAGATGGACGTCTGACGCAGATTCCAAGCCAACGTCTATCCAGATCGTTGATCGGCCAGTCTGGCGATGGGTGGAGGTTGATGAACACTGTTCGTTTGCCGTGCCGAGAATGTAAAGAGCAAGAGTCGGGAAGACGGGGAAAAAGAGATCACAGCATTCCCTGATGAATACAACGACAACGTCAAATCTTCATCTGCACTTTGAGAGAAAGATGGTTAACTCACGGATCCTCGTCGAATCCCTCATCCAAACTACCGAAACAGCAATCTGCAAGAATGAACTCCTGGTCCTCGCAAGCAATGCCAACGCAGACCTCTGCTTCGCATAAGCGCCAGCAATACAGGTTCATTACGTCTTGAAAAGTATCCACAGACCACCCTATAGGCAACCGTTGGTCTGAACGCGACCGTATCACCCCATCTGCCCAAGAATGCTCCAAAAAGTCGATGAATCCACGCAAAATGAATCGCTTGCGGAGCTGGGCGATGAGGGTTCTATAAGCATTGAAGATTTGTCCGTCTTTGGGCTCCTCGTAGCCCGACTTCTCAAGGGTGACAACATCTGGCGGTATGCTGCGCTGTTGCGGAAACGAAGAAAGACAAAGTATTTGCGCAAGGTCTCGACATCCCGTCGATTAAATGGTATGGATCTCTTGGTGTCTTCCTCGTTCCACACAGTTCGGTCCAGAAGATCGGTCACCACCGACCGAGCATCAGACTCAAGCTTCGTAAAG